TTATTATTTTAATTAATAAAATATCTTGAACTCGAGTTCGAGTATAAATAATTAAATTTTTATCAAATATAATAATCGAATTTATTTTTATATATTAATCAAACTTAATTGAACAAACTCAAATAGCTTGATTTCCATCTCGAGTCAAGTTTAAACTAAAAAAAAAAAAACATGATCGAGTTCGAATCAAATTTTAAACCTCAATTTTCAAATCAAATTCGAACTTAAACTTAATACTATATCAACTCAAACTCAATCAATTACACCCTATTTATTATTATCTCTCAAAAACCAAAAACAAATACCCATGTTATTTTCACTCTGATCCAACCCAATATTCCATTTTCCAACCCATCTAACAAAATCCCAAGATCTTTCATTCCACATGGCTTTGATTCAGCAGGATTTTTTTTTTTTTTTTTGCCTTCAGAGAGGATGAGTTCAAGGCTTTGTTATTTGTATTGTAGGATATGTTTTTGTTAGTTCAGTAAAGTTTTTAAATTCTGAAATTAAAAGATATCCCATACCCTATTAAGATATATATAAAACATAATAAATTAATATAATATAATAAATAATAAAATATATTCTAATATTCTAATCTTACTTATAAAAGTTTTAAATTTCATTGACAATATATGAAATAATAATTTTTATATTGACCTTTTTGTATTAACTGTGATATTGGATAATATTAGTCAATTTCGATAATTTCTGATTATTTCAATGTATTTCAGTGAATTACATCAGATAAAAGCTTTGTAAAGAACCTTTTTTTTTTTTTTTTTTGCAGCTCTTGCTCTTTTTGCTCTTTAAGTCTAAATCTCGGTCAATCTGTCTCATGGTACCAAAATCTCTTTCAGAAATTCAAATAATTTAAGTTAGGGTTCTCAATACGTGATTGTGTTTAATGTGGATTTGTGGAATAAAATATTGCCAAATATAATGTTATTTTAACATTATCTGTTGTATCAGCAAGCTGGCATTGGCATTCCTAGAATATAATTAAGACATGCTTCAGTTTGTTTTAATATAATTAACATTTTTAACCTCAATACAATTGTTTGATTATGACTTTTTATTTATTTTTTTTACTTTAAAACTTATTTAATTGGTAGTTGAAGTTATTTATAATGCTAAATGTTTTATAATTTACTTTTTATATTATTCGCAATATTATTTTATATAAATCTATATATTTATTTATAGTGATTATTATTTAAATCAGTTGACATATTATTGGAGTTAACATTTAAAAGTTATAAGTCCGAAAAAATTTATTCTTTTCAACTAAGTAAATAATAGGGTATTAGGTTTAAGGATACATTAGAAATTAAAAAATAAAAAATAACAACAACAATACAATTACTTGATATAGTGCTGGAGATTAGATAATCTTGGTGTTGGAATAACAACTAAAGGCTTCATTTTCTTCATAATAATTCCAAATCTGCCGGACAAGTCTTGCTCTGCACCCTGGGGCAATTTCCAATCAAAAGTATGAAGCAATGAGGCCAACGTGGAATAGAGCATCTTCTCTCCCAGAGATACTCCTGCACACATTCTCCTTCCCGAACCAAATGGCATGTACCGGAAATCGTTTCCTAAATAGTCGAATTTGTCAGGATCATTCAAGAACCTCTCAGGTTGGAATTGTGAAGGATTGTCCCAAACATGTGGATCCCTGTGAATAGACCAAATATTTAAGAAGACCCTGGTGCCTTTTGGAATGGTATAGCCACCCACAGTGCTTGATTGGCCCGGACAACGGGGCACAAGGAGTGGCAAAGGTGGGTGCAACCGGAAGGTCTCCTTTACTACAGCATCTAGATAGCGCAAATTAGGCAAGTGAACCTCTTCGACGGTGCTGTTTGAACCAACGACATCAGCTATTTCTTTCCTCACCCTTTCCATTATTTCAGGATGTTGCATTAGCTCTGCCATTGTCCACTCCATCATTGTTGATGTAGTATCAGTTCCACCCACCACAACATCCTAATTAAAAATTATTAGCGCCCAAAAAAGTAAGAGAATAATGGTCAATGGTGTATGAGATGAGAGAACATGCTTACCATCAGCAGGGCCTTGAGTTGATTCGTTGTAATTGATGATGAGCTATCGTTCTTCTCCTTGAGTTCCAAAAGAAGCTGCAAGAAGTCTTTTTGTTCAGTCTTTCCACCATCTTTGTCTATTCCGGTGGCTAAGTTCATTCTTGCTTCAATCATAGAGTCGAAAAGTGATCAAACAAATGAGATATTTTCTTCATTTCCTTCTCTAATCCTTGTATGTCAAAACTTGCAAGAACGGGGAAAATATCAGAAACGTTCGGTTTTCCTAATATCACCATTAATTCTGTTATAAGCTCTCGAAGGTCACTCCAAATATTAGCCCCATTCTGATCTCCTCCTTGTTTGCCTCCGCACAGCATGCTCATGACCGCGTTGATTGATGTTAAAAATGACAATTCACCAAAATCAATTAGCTTGCCAGCATTTTTATACACATCCGTAATGGTTTTCATCACTTGTTCTCTCCGTAGACCATAACAAGCTTTAATGCTAGAATTGCTAAGCATTTCGCGCACAAGAACTTTTCTCTTCATTCTCCAGTCAGGACTACTGTAGGAGTCAAAAACAATATCATTGCAGCCAAAGGTACAAATCTGGGCAGCAATGGGAGGATCCCGCTCAGAAAATGTTATGTCGTGGTCACGAACCACTTCTTTTGCTAGCGATGGTGAGCTAATTACTATGCATAGTTTGTTTCCAAGCCAAAGTTTATAGATAGGACCGTAGACTCCAGCCAATTCTGTAAAGACCAGGTGAAGATTATCAGTTCCAAGAAATGGAAGATATCCCACTAATGGCAAGCCACGAGGGCCAGGCGGTAATGGAGTGATTGGCCTCCTTGACTTTCTAATAGTCCATACGTGCCAGAGTGAAATTGCCAACATGGCAATCAGAAACGAGAAAGCGGCTTGAAACAGTCCATCTTTCTGCTCGCTAGCATTCAGCAGCCATGAAGACGAGCTGTAAGCTGTGTGCAGCGTGTTGCTTTGGAAGGAAAAATAAGAAATAGTAATTTGAGACACCAAGTTAACCAGGAAGTACACGGTTCAATATTGCTGAGAAGTCACCATGATTTATAGTACAAGAACATTGGTTATCCCCCTCCCCCCTCCCCAAAAAATGAAGATTTGCAGTCGTTAGAATACAAAAACTATGAAAGATCAATGGTCCAATTTCGTAAAGATTAAAGAACGTGGATATCACTTGTAGGAATTCAAGTCAAATGACAGAGCTAACTGCTAGGCGGAGTAGTCAGAGAAGATGGGCATAGCCATAAACGACCCTAGAAGCTTTGTACTATGATTTACATCTAGAGATTACCCACTTCTCTACATAAAACTGTATGCAATAGTGGATCGACCGATCAAGCAACCAACTGGATCTAATTCGTAAAAGATTGTAGTTTCCAAGTTCAACCATTACAATTGAAGTTAAAGAAAATGAAATCGTTGAGCAAGCAGTATCCGTATTGTTTTGTCCTGGTTGGTGAGGGAGGAAAAATTGAAAAAAGAATACTAAGAGAAGAAAACATGACAGAATAGTATTTTCTTCAACATCTTCTTTGAAATGGAGTTGTTGAGAGGTAATATTGATACTGTCATCAATGGTGACAATGGAAAAGTACAATGGGGCTTCTTCAAGCTCTTATGTAAGCAATCTAGGAAACTGCAGCGCCAAGACAATGGCGTTGCCGCACCTACCTAGTACCTGGTCAAAAGTCATCTTCACCTGTTGCAATTGCAGTGACTCTATAGACCATAGACACTTTGGTTTTCTTTTCTTCCATTCCAAAGTCGCTAATGTTGACTAGAGCTACAATTATAAGATTTTTCAACTTGCCCTTTTATAGTTTTAAAATTATCAACTGAGATCAGGATTCAATGTACCTCTTCCATTGTTTGATTGAACAAAGTTCTTATGTTTATTTCTAGAAAATTTTCAATGGGGTCAAACAAGATATTCTATGATGTTAAAATTCAATTGGTATAATCAGCAACTTTATTTGAATTTGAATATTCACGGACCATATTATCACTTAAGGTTATCTTTTTTTTTTTTTTTTTACTTTGTAAAATCTTGAAAAAAAATGTCTTTATTTTCTTTCAATTTCCTTAAATTGTTTATATTTATTTTCTTTCAATTTCACCTTATCAAAGATGCATAAACACACTTTCATTAGGCCCAAATTACCATGGACATATTCAAGAACCATTTATACAGTCGGTAATCGAATATATGGCATCCATTTTCGATTGGTTTACAATTTAAAGGACTACCTATGCATTCCAGAGGCAAATCATCCAGCCAAGAATCATACAATAGAGAGGCCGAAGGTTCCAATTCAGTGGGCCATTCTGAACTAACATCTATTTCATCAAAGATGATGGGTTTACATTTTCGATCCCTACTTCGATTAATGGCTTGTAGCCCAAGATTGCAATGCACAAAAACCAAATCATTGAATTCATCCAGCTCCACTTGGTTGCGTTTCTTTGTATATATGGCTATGCTCTCAAAGGTTTGTGGTGGAAAACTGGAAATCGTCGACGCTTTCTCAGGTGATCCCTGCGTGACTCTCCTCTTGGTGATGACGTGTCTTGTAGCTTTTGATTAGATCTTAGTGCACCATTGCGAGTTGTTTCATTCCTCCATTCTTTCTTTTAATTTTCCATTCATCATTTGTGTTAGATTTTTTTTTTTAATAAAATTAAAAGATAAAGAAATTAGGAGAAGAAAAGAATTTTATTGTAATTTGCTTTCCGGGGCTAAGATAATTTTTAAAGAGAATTAGTTTCTTTAATCAATACTTATGAGCTTTTAATTCAACGTTGTTAAAGTCGATTTCAGAATTGAAAATTTCGCGTTTCAACATGAATAACAACTCAAACAACCAAGTAATTACTAGTACTTATGAATAAAGATTTATTAATGTGATACATATAAAAAAAAGTCAGAAAAATGTTAGTAATATTAAACCATAAGATTTACAGATGCAGAATGAACAATGCAATTCATGTTTGCAAAGGATAAGGCATTAAGGAAAACAACTTTTAGTGTCAAAGCACCAAAGTTCAAATGGTGGAAATCATGTCACTTTGAATATATGAATTAGTTAAGAGTTTAGAGAGAAGCAGAACATCTCACCAAAATCTTAAGACAAAGGCCAAATGGCACAAAATGTAACCCAATAAGGGTGATAAACAATTTAGTAGTTTTTGTTTTCTGCTGGTTATTTGCATTGCAAAATTCAAGTTTCACTCAAACTGGCAAGTGGCTTGCACTCTTTGTATGACTTGAAAATTTGTCCCTGTCAAAGTCTACTTATCAGCTGATTTTGCCAGCTGCCTAACTCTGCGAGCACAGTCTGCAAAATTTTGTGCCAGAGGGGCACATTTAGTAAGGTCATTAGCATTCTCCTTGTAGCATGCCATCCAAGCATTATTCTCAACCAAACATGGCATAGGCTTTGGTTCTGGAATCTTGAATTCTTTATCATGGAGATCTTTAGCTTTTTGTGTCACTTCCTGCACCATTTTCTCTTCCTGTTTCCGCAATTTTTCTACAACATTCTCACTCTCTTTAACAACAGATAGAATTGCATCTAACTCTGCACTTGCAGAGTAAGGAGGTTGGTTTACAGGCAGAAATAAGGGAGGCTGAACTGGCCATCCTGTGCCTGTAGTCCCTTCCCGTTTTTCAGAATCATCGGATATTTGCTTCTGATCTACCTTAGTTTGTGGTCGTTGAGGCTCCCTTGGCACCTTGGTTTTAGATTTCTTTGTTCTTTTCTTCAGCTTCTCATCATCTTCAGCTAGTCGGTTGATAAGGTTGGTGCTAATTTGGATTGAAAATTCACCCATGTTGCAACCAACCTAAGACAAAATACCTGATAGCATCAACAAAGAAACATGTATCGGATTAGAAATTCATAGGCAATTTCTTTCATCAGGAAACTAGCTCAAAGCATAAGGCAAAACGAAAAACTAATGAGCGCCTAAAATAGCACAAAAACACACATATAACTCAGCTAGAGACCAAAGAGTATAGAAAGAACAACACAAAACTCAAACAAATATCTAGGGTGACTGATTGGAAAAAGTTCATCCATCTTACAACAAACCAGCAAAAAAGTACCTGAAAATCCATTCTTACTCATGATTAAAATTAGCATATGAAATCTATGATCTTAGATAACTGGAGCGTAATGACAAACAAATACCAATACAAAACAAGGGTGGACGCAAACCAACAGCTCAGATACTACAGAAGGGTTCACACTGCAAATCTATTCTGTGAAATTTGAAGTTTAGAGGACTACTGGTAAGCACATTGTTCAATTTTGATACCAGGCAATGCAGCATCCTTATGTTACTCCAATTCATAAACTACTTTAACTAACGAATAAATTACAAACAGATCACTTACAGGCACAACAAAGACAAAGAAACCCAAACCCGTTTATAAACTTATCATCCCAATTCAGTCAATTGCTTGGAAAAACAAAACAAAACCTAATTCAAAAACCGATTCATTCAACCAATATGCTCCATGATCCTCACGAAATTACAAACAAAAAGCATGTCAAAATAAAAAGAGAGCAAAAACATTAAGGGCTAAGATTCAAAATTGAAGAATTATCAAGATATTTTGCAACTAGGCCATGAATTCTTGCCTGGAGCTCGATCTACGCCAAATCCCAACAAAGGAAGGATGCTCCGCAGTTTAGGATGGAATAGAAAGGTGGGGTTCGATGGCCGCAGATACAGAAGAAGGGAGATTGAAACCAAGGGTCTTCGTATATCCTCCTCTTACGGAGACAGAAGGTTATTTTCGTCTTGGCTGGGCTTTCCCTTTTTCGCTTGTTTAGACGATCCATTTGCTTAGAAAAAGTTTTGGGCTTTTTGTTTATTGGATTCATTATAGGAGCCCTATCCAATTAAAAACTTTCGAACTTGAGGTGAAAGATCAAGGTGAGAGGAAAGACATATTTTATTTTTGTAAAGTAAATTTTTATTTTTTTAATAATTAATTATGTCTAATTTTACATTAATTAATTATAATTAATAATAAGAGTGAAAAAATTAAATTGATATTTTTTTATTAATTAACTATGATTAATATTAATTTAATAATAAATTATAATAATTGAATAAAAGAATAAAATAATCTTTTAATCTTATCCAACAATATTTTTTTAAACTAATAAACATATTAATATTAATTCCTACTACATTTTATTTCAATAAACCACACATCATAAGAATTATTTTATTTTATTTTTTTTATTTTTACAAAATATTTATTCCATTCCCCGATCTATTTCATTCAGCGATTCAAACATGCTGTCAATTTTATTTTTCTATTGGATGGATCAAGCTTTATTCTCTACCAGCCCAACTCACTAAATATGCCTTCAAAATTCGAGGGGATTAGGGAAATAATTGCCTCCTAATTGAAATTTCACCAAGCCAAAACCCACGCTCAATCTTGGGTAAAGCTTGTCCCATCTTTTACTTTTTATTTATTTATATAATGAAAATTTTACATATTTCACTCATCAACTCTTAAAATTTTTTAATCTCCTAGCTGATTTAATATAGTAAATATGTTTTGAATAAAAAGTTTATTTATAGTTAAACTCATGCAGCACATTTGGAGTTTTTGATATGTGATGTGATTTTTGAAGATTACAGATTCAAAAATTAATATGTGTAATATTTTTCGACTACTAGTAAGGAAAAGAGAATTAAGAATAGATTAAAAAAAATTTAAAAAAAATTATTTCTCAAAATAGCATGCGAGTCCAAATTTAATGAATTTATGCAGCATAGTTTGAGGATCTAGAAGGGCATATATATATCCAAAACCATCCAAATTTTCATTACCGAAAACCTAATTTTTGTGTTTTCTCAAAAAAAAAAAAAAAAAAAAGGCCTAACTTTTTGTGAATTAAATTAAATTAGGCATTGAAAATTATCAAAATTTCATGTGAGTGGGTGACCTTAGGGTAGGGATTTAAATTGCTATTGCGGTCGTATTTCGATCACGTTACGTTTATCGTGATTACAGGCATAACGGAAGCTATTGCGGTCGCAATTCGATCACATTATGTTTATCGTGATTGCAGGCATAACAAAAGTTATTGCGGTCATCACAGTTATCTTAATCGTGAATTTTTTTTTAATTTAGCACAACATACTATAAAATATTGTAATTATAATTATAATTATAAAAATTTTTATTTTATGATTTTTAAAATAGTTTATAATATCATATATCTTATATTTACTTGATTTTTAAATGTAATAATCTATTAAATATTTATTATTATATGATTTTGAAATGCAATAATTTATAAAGTATTTTAATTTTTTACACATTAATTAATTTAAAATTGTTATCATAAATTACTTTTAAATTATTATACAAGGGATCGAACTTTCAATTTTTATTTAAGTACACAAAAATAATAATAATTAATCTAATGCTAAAAAAATTAACAATACAAATACCAAAACAAAATATCATTAATAAAATTCAAATATAAAAATAAAATAATAAATAATAATTCAATATATAATCATTTAACTTTAATTAATTTTCATTTAAGTTATACAAAAAATTTATTACCTCAATTTTTATCTAACTTATCCAAAATTTCTCTATCTATCTCGTATTAATTCTTAAATTTATTTAATTTTAAACTTTCCTATCATTAAATTTAACCTTTAAAATTTCCTATAAAAAAATTTTTTCCTAAAAAATATATATATTCACATGAACAAAACCAGTGGTTCCTACCCTAGAACTAAAATTTTAGTTTTATTCCCCTCTAATCGCTCTCCTCTCTTGGCATCTCTTCCTTTTTTATTTTCTTTAGTCTCATTCTCACACTTTCATTCATCTCAACCTCTTCTCGTTATTTCTCAATGTGCTACACTCAACTCTCGAACTCAACCCAAAAGTATAAAATAGAAGCTTCCCCCTTCCACTAGATATGGCCCTATCGATTAGACGATTTAGTCATGGCGACATACGTCTGATTTCTGCTTAAGCTCTGATTTTCTTCCTTATCCCAAATCCTAATTCTCAACCAAGAAAATTCATCACCACCACCCAATAGCCCACCCTGGTGTCCAAGCCCCAATCCCCCACCGTCAGAGTCAAAGCCCTCACCTATAAGGTTGGCATCGGGTCAGGTTCTAGGTAGGAATAAAACTCGCTTCGAATCCGACCTGATTTTATGCATTATTAAACTTAAACCTGATTTTATCAAAATTTTTTTTTATTTTTTCATACCCGAACCCGACCCGATCCAATATTATATAAATCGTATCGAATCCCGACCCGACCTGAAATTAATAAAATATTATTTTTTAAAAAATAAAATATTATTTTTTAAATATAAATATTTAAAAATATCATTATATAAATATATATAAATAAAAAATTAAATAATTAATTAAAAAATAATTATTTATATAATATCGGATCAGATCGGGTTTACCTAAAATCCGAACCCGACCCGACTCCGATTATTTTTTAACTTTACTCAATCCAACCTGACTCGAAACTCGAATTTAAAAAAAAAAAAATCGATCTCATAAGATCAGGTCAGATCGAAATCCGTCGAAAACGAATTAAATTATCGTTCCTACTCACCTAGCAGAAGATGTAAGATGGAGAGGCTAACTTCACCAATCAATTCAATCCCATTAAAATTCAACAAAAATTTGCAATATTTTTTTTAAAGGTAATTACTTGTGTTGAACTATTGGTTGTAATGGATTGATGACTGATTTGATATTAAATTTGACTTTGTTTGAAGTTGGATTGAGGTTGACGTCAAATTAAAGTTTTTTTTTGGGGGGGGGGGGCTTTTAATTTTTTTGTATTTTGATTTTCTGACAAAGAAATGGAGCAGCAGCAATAACAGCCTTTTAAGATCGCTATTCACCGCTACATCATTTTTTCGTGGCCACAATAATCCGTTATCAATGAGATTTAAACTCTCACCCTATATTTTTTAAATAACGATAACGGATGGTGGTATTATCGTAAAATAACAGCCACTATACCGCAACTACAACGCTATTTGAATCCATACCTTAGGGCTCACGCTTTGCAATCTATACCATTCAACCAAGGGAAGACCAAATGGGAAAGTCATCATTGCAACCTCAACAATTTTTCTTAAACATGGTCTCATATTGAAACATATGTCTTGATGCCGTGTTTGACAACATTCTACTACTCTTGCTTTACGGAGATACGCCCATATTCTTCTTAGCATGCTCGATTGGTAGAACCCTTTTTTTCCCATCAGAAACAAAAGTTTTGCATGATCAGACCAAGTCAAGGCTGTGGTGCCCAATAGCTTTTACTTTAGATGGCATATGCATATCATTGGAGAAATATTGGGACACATTTCCTTACATTTCTTACAAAAATGGACACTGTTTTTTGTGTTCAAACAAACGCTTGAAAGCCGCAGCAGCATCTACAGACTACAAAAAAATGGTGTAATGTTTAAAAAAGCATGACTCAATTTGAATTCAAAATTAACCACAAAAATACCCAAATGATTGAACATTCCACTTTGTAGTCACAGCTTTTTATCTTTGTCGGGTAACCATAGGATAGATTAGCCCTGAGAATCTTAGGTGTTGGGTCTCCCACCCTTCCTAACCTTTTTGCAGACATGTCCATTCTTCCTTTTTAATTCCTTCAAATCTTGTTAACTGTTTCCAGGGACCGTTTCTCCCTCAGTCCTTTTCAAATGGAATTCCAAGTCATTTCATTTTGTTTCTGTTAAGTAATTCCTTACTATATCGTACAAGAAATTTTATACTACATATCATTGTATTACTGAAGTAACTTTTGCTTGTATCATCAGAATAATCGCAGAGTAATTTTTGTCCTTTTCTTTTGTTTAATATCTAACAAGATATATATATATATATCTTGTTTAATATATAACAAGATATATATATATATATGAATTAATTGTAAATGTGCTCAGCTTCTGTTCCTTGATGGATAATTTCAATGGAACATCATCCTTAACTTGTGTCCTAAGAAAAATCATGATTAGAGAGCCTTTGATTATGTGATTTACTGGATAATGTTCATTTAATATTGTTTTACATAATATTAAAATTAATATTAATTACTTTAATTGTTTCTTGAGGATTTAAATTATAGGTCAGTTCAGGATCATCAGCAGAGAATGTGTACTAAAGGAACTCACTGTCAACCTTTTACTCTTGATGAAAACTTGTGTTGAATTTAAGGTCTAATCAGAAGTCACAAATTAGTCAATATATGTACTCAATAATTGATTAGATAAACTTGTTGCTAGTCACTGCAAACCTTCTGCATCAATCTCATGGTGACATAACATCTTGCGGACTTTGTTAACTCAATTATTAATTTGTCGTTGGTTATAGAAAAGAAAGTTAAAATGCTTTATTTACTATAACTTACTGTTTTTCAAAAGTTTATGGCATTCATTCCTCATTAAAGATAAAAGAAAGTTTGTCTATGATTTTGTCTGCACTCAGCACAATCATGGTGACTTGTTGATTTGCTTGCTTGTAAAGGGAAATTGTTGTACAATGTGACACAAGCTTTGCCCTGGGAACAAAAAATTGTTAATAATTCATCAAGATAATGATAAACATTTCAAATTCTTGAAAACCTAATAAAGGATATCATCTCTGCTAGAGCAATGCCAAAATGATCAAATTAAAGTATTTGATTATAAGAAAAACATGAAAGTCTTTAGCTTAAGCTAATGGCTTCAGAGACATATAATTAGAAGCACTATGAGCCAAAGCTAATGGCTATGTAGTTTTCTTAAGAAACTTAAATTACAATAAAGTAACTGTTCATTTATCTTTATTTCATATATAAAATAAAAGTATTAAATATACAAGAGGTTTCACGTTCACAAAACCCACTAGCGCTTTTATCATTCCATTGTGTCCCTATCTTCTTTTTTTTTTTTTCTTTTTCCTTTTTCATTCGGTTGAATAATAATTGTTTCCCTGTCCTTTACAGAAGAAAGATTACAATATTTGCAAGGCACCAAGAAATATCACATCTTGAGGATATGAGGGTTGGGATCACTTTTGAATTGGTAGGTGAGAAACCTTTGAAGAAGCGAGGTTTACTTTCGACCTTCCAACAATATTCCGAAATACAGGAACATAAAATCAACAGTGAGGACCTAAAATCAACTAAACATAAAGCACCTTAATTTGAAGCTTTAAGTAATCAACTATGGTGCGTCAGGCTGTTGTTTTGTCGCCCATCTCTAACGTGTTCATCGTGTTTACTTCAACGTCGTTTAGGAAATCGAACCCAAAGTCATGAATACCAAAATCCTGACAATCCAGCAACCATGCGCAGTTGTCCTCCCAAGATGGCAAGCTTGTGCCATTACAAGTTTCTCCTGCTGGTATGCTGTTCCATGAAGCATCAACTAGGGGAGGTTCATCCATCCATAAGCTAGTCAATAACGATTCATCGTTGCAAATGCTGTCTAATAAATTAGAGTCATTAGTACTAGAGCAATTTTCAGTTGGTGAACTCGAATTATCCTTTGATGAGTTGACGATGCTATCATTTTCTGTAATATGATTTTCTGCAGAATTATCAGCATGGGAAGAACTTTCTTCAGCCTTAGCTTGTTTGTTCAAGGGTTCATGAGTAGCAGGATCAATTCCCATTTTAATAAGCTTTTTCTTGATGTGGGTGTTCCAGTGATTCTTGATCTCATTATCAGTTCTGCCTGGCAACCTGGCCGCAATCTTCGACCACCTGATAAAGAAAAGAACAATAGTCAATATTAAGTTTAATCCTGAATATCAAAACATATATCAAAACCCATTAACAAACCAAACTTCAATGACAAACTATGTTTATTCTAAATCTTCGTAGGCAAAGATGTCAAACATTCGGATTTCAAGCAAGCAAGTTGCAGAAGCAACTCCATAAAACAATGTATTCTTTATTTGGGAGCTGGCTGAACTGGATGATCGTGAACAGGAAGGAACCAATAAGCTACAAAACAAGAATGGTATCCTTGTTTAACTTTACAAAAACTTACATAAAAAACTAGTAGTAGTTCATTGTGAAGACTTTTCTTCAAACATAATTTCATGATCATCGCAATTTGCAACTTATCATTTCCTTAGCAGAACAAGAAAGCCTTTTAACAACAACATTTTAGGTGCTCCTTTTCAAAAAGCATAAGCTGTCCCTGTCAAGGACGTTACGTTTCAAAATGCATAGCATCCTCTTCAACCTCGATGACCCAAAACTAGAAAACGAGATGATTATATGCAGGAGTCTGTCTCAGAAACAAAAGCAATTAGACTAATCTAATGGGTTTCACTCAAAACTGCTCCAAGCAATCACAAAATGCAGGACAATGAATGACACGGTGAAAAGAGTCTAATTAACCTATTGCCAAGACGGCCATGAAGGTCAATAACCAACTTTTCTTCATCCTCAGAAAGAAGGCCTCTCTTCAAATCAGGTCGAAGATAATTAGTCCATCGAAGGCGGCAGCTCTTGCCGCAGCGGCGGAGGCCAGCAAGCTTAGGAACAGCACGCCAGCAACACTGGCCATTGGTGAGAATAAAGTTGATGAGTTTCTTGTCTTCCTCAGCTGTCCATGGCCCTTTTTTCACACCGAGTTTGTCACAGCAAGGCTGCCTACCCATAGCTTAGTCCCTCTAAACACAAACTGTACCTGTAAAGACCCAAAAGCCCCACACCCACCTTTACATAAAGTCTTTGAGCGGCTTTCAGAGGCTGATATATATATAAATACAAAAATGGAGATTATGTAATTTAACAAGTGCAAAAAATATATATCTATATATAGTAATTCAGAATTCACTGAGAGTTGAGAGGAGGAGATTCCGGGGACCACCATTGGTTTGTGAAAGCGATGTTGGAACTAAAATGGGGCGTTCTGGTGCGAGTAGATACACAACAGAGTGATAGAGGAGAGTGGATGATGGGTGACCCAAAGACATGGCCACATCTAAGCTTTCCAAAAATTTTCTTCCCATTTTCCTACACAACCCCACTCTCCCTCATTGCACTCTTACTCAACCATTCCATCATCCATTTCGTCATCACCACGTTTACGTGTACCCAATTGCAGTAGAAATTTTTACGGTGTTACTGTTTCTAATGGACTTGAGTTATCAGTTTACATAAGGGATTATTAGCCTTTTGAGCTAGGGAAATTATCTTGGTTTTTTGTTTTGTTAATTGTAACCAAATTAATATTATTGGCCACCTATAGGAGTTTATATTTGATATACTTTCTATACATTGTCAATAAATTATATAATACCACCTTATAAATGAATAAATATTAATTTTTAAAATAAATATACAAAAATTAATTATTTTTTAAAATTAAATCATTAATGAGATGACATCGTGTTATTCACTTCATTAATAAAATAATATCATTCAATTCACGAATAATATATAAAATTTATATGCTTATATCAAACATAACTTCATTATATGTATATGTATATGTATATATATATTTTAGTTTTTATAACTAATCTTAGATATTAGAATACACATTAACATTTTCCTAGAAAAACACCCGTATCTTAGAAATACAAAAATGATTTTCTTATTCCATATCTGAATGTTCCCATTTCGTTAATAATTACTTAAATAATAATGAGTAATAACCCATATTTTCAAAGTCTCTCTTTTTGTTTTTCGAGAGAGAGAGAGACAGAAAGTAAATCAGTCAATGATTTCTTTTTACTCTTCCACAATTATTATATACTCTAATTAACTCCGTTGAATGGAGGAAAAACTTCATGATTACTTCAAGAAAAACATGATCATTTTGACATTCTAATTCCATTTTTCTTCATTTTTATCAAACTCATTCCTCATCAATTTAAGCTGTGGTGCTTTTTCTTTCGTGTTTTGTTAAGAAATACTAAGTTATACTTAAGAAGAAACTCTAGCCTTCGAAACCCACAACATTAGATCGGTTCGGGAAAAAAATGTATTGAAAGAAACTTAAAATCTCTTACATATCGCTTTAAAAAAAAAAAAAAAAAAGAAAACCACATCAATTAGTTGCTTCCCTCTATCAAAACTCAGAAGTCATTATATAACAAGTTGCTTCATATATAATTAACAACTTCCTAATTGAACTTATCTTCTAAGTTGTTTGATGATTAGCAAACTAATGCTTGATAAGGAACACGGTTACTTATCTGTTAATCAAATCCACATATATATATATATATATATGAATAGATATATGTGCACAATCATCTTCCTTTAATCATCTTTATTTAATAAGTCATTAAAGAAACCGGAGGTGCAGCAGCGTACATAACAGAGAAGCAGTAGAAAGAAACACGAGACAGCAGAGAAATTGAAAAGAAAGAGAATGTTATGCAAAATAAACGAGAATATAGAGAAGAAAAAAAGAAAGAAGCTTATTCACGAATAGTGTATAAAATGATAATATATCAAATATAAAATTTTATTTATTTTGCTTTCTATATCATGAATCATTATTTGTTTCTTACTATTTCACGTGTTGCTTCTATTTTGGATATTATTTTTTTTATCATTATGCTTATTAACTTGATTGTATTTATTATATTTTAAATTCAATTTTTAGGGTGCTAATGGATCTTTTATCATGGTACTTTTTTTGTCAAATTGTTAATACCGGATTTATTTGAGATTACCTTGATTGGTGAGCTGAGGTATATTTGAGATAATCCAAGATTTTCACTTCTAAATCAGTTTTATAAAAATGACCCATTGTTACGCATGTCCTTTCTAAGTAATCTCCATGAACCCATGTTAAAGCTTTGTTTCAACACCATGACTGAAGGATGCATACACATTTTCTTCTTGATGATGATGGGCAATTTTGATAAACATATATACTATATAATCTAATAAGATGAGAGGGTTAGGGGTAGTTAATGTTCAAATTTCTTGGTTATTTGACTTGTTTCTCTTGGCTTAGGTTGGTGTAGTTCAATGTCGACCCTTTTCCTCAATAGCTCAACTTTGAACTCCATTGCGTATCTAAGCACAAGAACCCTAGTTTGGAATCTCAAGCTTTCCTCCCTTAAACCTTTATGATATAAATTAATCATTAATCATAAAGTTATTAAATAATTAAAATCCAAAGTTATAGCTCAATTGATTTATATAATCACTCTTAAAAGATAACATTTAACTAGTTTCGAATTTAATTTTCAACGCTTATAATTCTTTCTCTATTCATAAATTGTGATATTTTTTATATTAAAAAATTATTAAATAATTAATATTTATCACCTAATTCAAGATCTTTGTAAATTCTTTTATCAAAAGGTTTTATGACTTTAAAAAGCCATACGAATCATCCATGAATTATTCAATCAATTACTTTAAATCATTCATAAATAAAATATGTGCATACAACAAATTTTTTTTTATGAGAAAAGCAAGAGATTCAAAACTAATGTGACTCTTTGGGTGGAAGATATATACATACATATATACATATATATATATATATATTTGTATGTATGTATATACTATTTTAAAATAAAATGTTATAGGTGAATAAACATTGGAATTGCTAAATTTAAACTGCTAATTCGATTATCAATGGTCGACATACACATGTAAAATTCATGCTCAATAAGGACAACATTTGCATTTTGCCAATAAGCATTGAAGAATCAGAGGGAGATTATAGAATGACTTGCAAGGCACATAAATCATTTTAGTTTGTTTTGTTCTTTTTATTAAATTAACTGCAATATACTATTATTTATACATGCATACATTTGACACATACTTTCCCCAAAAGGTAAAGAAAAAAAGGGATAGGAAACCAAACCTTTTGCCAAAACGTGCGTGTGAAATATGCCACGCAAATGCAATGCAAGGTCGTCATCACCATTTCACCAACACATTTTGGAGTTTGCTAAGTGATCTCCCAACATTTAACAATGGAATAAATTCAAGCACATAAAACTTCTGGCATCTCAGGAATCCACATCGATGCATGGAATATCGATCTATCAATAAACCCTAAAAGAAGATATTCTTGCATGTTACTGATTTAAGCTTGCATTTGCATGTTTTTCTTTTAGGTAAAAAGAAATGAATCATTAATTTTTTAGGTATAAAACAGGTGAAAATTAATACTTAGTGAGGTAAGGTAGCTGAGGATATAAACTGGCATTGCTTCTAGAGTTGGGGCTGTCTGGTTTAAGCTCTGATTAGCCATTACTGTAGCAGTTGTGAGTTCATGATCACTTCAACGAACATAGCTTAAATATGTTCACATTATTACAATTGGTCCTTCCACAGTATTGATTACACATTCGATCATTCCATGATGGTGAAGTTTCTCCTTTATTGAAGGATTTCTTGTTCCTTTCAGTGTTTTCCACTAGTAAGTGGCAGCATGTGAATCAAGAGAATGCATATAAAAAAAAAATACAAATATATATCTGTTTACATTATTTCACTAATTTTGATATGAACTTTATTCAGTCAAATATATATCTAATTCCGCCCAAGAACAATCTCTTTTATTGATGATTAAGTTCAAATGATGAGTTCATCATGGATTCATTTAATGTATAATCAGAATTTTGAAGTACAATTTTCAATATGGACATCCAAATATATATAAAGATTAATTAATTGAAAAGATAACATATACAATCTAGACGGATTTCATTATTCCAACTTTTTCTTAATTCCATAACTTTTTTAGTGACTCAAAGCCGATTTGATCTATCTTTCAAAATTTTCTTGAAGGTACTTTTAAAGAAAAATTTTAAATTAATCTAAATTTACTTGTGGTGTCAAATTATATTTATAAACTCACTTGTGTGTGTTGTTGAATATGAAAAGTACATGCGCATCATTATGCATGAATACCATAAGGCAAAGCTTAAAGCGACGGATGAACTACCAAATGGAATTTAAAAACATTGTGATTACTATTCTCCATAGAAATAATGATGTGAAAACAATTATTGTGAAGAAAAAAGATCAATATGTTAAGTTCAATAGAGTTGTCTAATTGCATATTTTATGAGTAATGCAGTCGTCACTGAACAAAAAAAAAAATTCTAAAAGCATAAACAATTAGCATACTAGGGGAAGACTGACGATCCACAAAGCTCCAAGAACAAAACGAAATTAATTTCTCAGCTCAACTTTATGGAGAAATGAGAAGGGAATTTGGTCAAAAATAATATAAGTTGGGGTTTCGATTAAGGGTCTGACTCTAAATCTTTAGGAGTTGAAACTCCCCCAGAATTAGTGTGTAATGAAAAGACATTAGAATTTCTTGATTGATCTAAGTATGTATAGCCTCAACACTGTCCCTTTTGTGTTACAAGACACTTTGACAGGTCTAACAAAGATAGAGTTTGGTAGGGAAAATGGGGGAGTTTGAAAATGGTTGAAGAAATTATCATTTTGCTTACTTTTTTTTTCCTAGCTTGGTCTTGTAACTTTCTCCTCCAAGTAATGAATTTAGGTTTACAATCAAAGGAGTGATAGGTTATATTAACTGGTGGGTGAGCTTAGGTAGCTAAACTGCTGAATTTGATTGGATGGAAGCATCCAATTAAATGAGTATGTTTTTCAAGGCAGAGAGGATTGGTGATTGGTGGTGGAATATTAGCTCCTGGTGATGGGTCATTTTCCTTCTCTGGCCTAATGAGAATGCGAGATGTGAGTCAAATAAAAGTAAATAGCTAGTAAGTTGGTAGTAGTAACAAATTTTTCAGTCAAGACTTGGCCTTTTGGCTTGCTTTCCGACATTATTTCAACTGCAGGCCGTGGGAGGGTGATGGATCAGGGCTTTGCTTGCTGCGGTACTAAGGAATGGTACTTCTGAGCTCTGACTCTGTTGTTTACATTTTTCGGAGGAGCCTGGTTAATGTTATAAGACCGGCAAATTAATATGTGGAAGGAAGGAATGGCAGATAGGAAAATTGTGTGAGAGAAAAAACTAATGACTAGAATTTTCTTGATTAAAAAGCAATGAAGATGGAATATTATCTATTTTATCTCCTATTTTTGTAACTAATTTCAACCAAAAATATATTCACCGTTAGCGTATCAAATATAAACTTTAAATAATAGGCAATGATCTTATTAGTAGTGCATTCGGTTAAAAGTGTATTCCGAAAAGGAAAATCTTTCACTAATATATTACATAATAAAAGAAAAAAATGGAAGCAAAGTGCTTTCCAAAGGAAAGAGGATAACTTGGGTTTTTGCAGAGATGGATTGGGGTTAGGGAGGTTTTTTTCTCTTTTGAGTGGGTATTTACAAACTTTGGGGTTTTCTTTTCGCATAAAAAATGAAAGGAAACAGCAGAGAAAAATAACAAGACTAGTGCAGAGCAGGACTCGGTTCTTCTAGTACCCTTGTAAAGGTAGATCATAGGGATCAGCTTTCAATTAGAAAAAAAAAATCTTATTTGATCATAAAATGCTAGCTGATTGGTTTTAGTTTTTGTTTGTGATGATTTTTCTTTTTTGACGGATTATTCATTTTCTTAAACCGTGGGATAATGGTGCAAATTTTCATGGAAGACTGAGATCAATGCCTCAAAGGATCAATCCATGAAACTCTCTCAATCAACTTTCCAGGTTTCGAGTATCGGCCATGCCAAAACTAAAACGGAAACATTCATTCTGATGATACCGTAACCAAAGGCACGAAGAAAGCACAAGGAATATGTAACTACTCCATGTAGTTTCAACTTCTGAGAGCAAAATGATGAACTCAATGCCGACATAAATACGACTGAATAACAGATATATGTGATAGCAACACTGACCAACCAAGTCTAGTATCAAGCAATAAAAACACAAGAAAACAATAAAATCTCTAGACATTCAAACTCGGATGCCTAATCTGAATGATCTCTGTATTATTTATATCTGAGAAACCCATCTGCTCATCAAAGTTTCCAAGGAATATGTCACCTTAATACATCGCTATAGAGATCAAAAATAAGAACAAGGTGGTGATTCCAGTCAACGCTATCCTGTCAGCACCTCCATTTCCACCTCCAGAATGTCCTGTAAAACTTGAGGAGCTAAATATTAAGGCTGAAGCAGTTGGTAATTCATGCTAGTTACAAAATAGATAGTTTTGCTGATTCATGATTCAGATAAGTAAATCTATTTTATTCAACCAAGGTTTGTTCCTTTTTCCCAACATCAATTTGCACTATACTCAGACAAGGCCTCGCTTTGTAGTGGCATGGGCCCTTGTACAACAAGTGAAGAACTGAATGGTGTGTCTCAAGTCCTAGAATTGAGCAGGAGCACAGAGTATTGAAAATAGAAATCTTTTGAAGGCATATGTAAACAACTTAGGCAAAGCCTGGTCGTAGACTGATGGATATGGTAGCTATTAACTAAAAAAGGTGGATTAAGAAAGAATAACAGAAAGAGACAGGATGAATGCTATCGGATCATGTAGACTTAGAAATTTAAAATAAAATATAGTAACATAGTACAAAAATTATAAAAAAAAAGAATACAAAAATCACATAGTTTAAAATTTTAACAAAAACTATTATAAATTTAATAAAATTAAAAAATTTATATATTTCATATTTAATGTGTCGACACGAATTTAATATAATAATTTTCATATTTTACACATATTTAACATAAAATAGACATAATACAAATACATAAATAACAATATTTAAAACTATAGACATAACTAGAGATGGCAAATGAGTCCGAACCCGTCAAATTTCTACTCGACCCGACTCTATAATTTTTTTTTAAAAAATCAGATTTTGAGTTAGATCGGATTTTTGTAAAAAAAAAAATAAAGTCAGGTCAAGGTTGGGTTTTAGGTAAATCTACCATGACCTAACCTGATGTATATAAAAAATATATTTTTATTATTTATTTTATTTTATATTTATATATATTTATTGATAAATTCTGTATTTAATACTTTAATTTAAAATATTAACTTAATAAAAATACTATATTTATATATGATTAAAATATAATTTATATTAAAAATAATATTTTATAAATATTATATTAAATTAAAATTATTAAATTAATTTTGAATCAAATCAAATCAAATCGATTACAATTTTATATATATGTGAATCGATTTAATATAAAAAATAATATTTTAATATTAAATAGGATCAAAATCAAATATATATTTTATAAAATTAAGTCAAAATTACAACAAACAAAAACTAATCTCAATCCGATCCGCTGTCATTATTAGACATAACATAGTTTTTTCATTGATTACTTTTCTTATTTGCTAAAATGCACAAAGATTTGACCTGTGTATACTGTAGTACATGCATCAGAATAAAATTTCTTATCAAATGAAGATATTCAAATTCTATTGTTTAGTTTCTCCCAGGAACTGTATGCAGTTGGATGTTAAAAAAAAAAAACCTTTCTTTTTGGCCATAGATTTCGAGTCAATTTCGGAAGCACCGAAAGTTAAATTCAAGTACTCGCTGAGTCCACCTATCCTCTTTCACATTTATAAAAGCTTCAATTTTGACTAGCCAATCAACCAAAAATAATAATAATAAAAACAAAGAAATAAAGTTCAAATGTTTTCTCCAAGGCCTGGTCGAAATGCAAAAAACTCACTCAGATTGCTAAAAGTTGCTCCCGACTAAACTCATCAAGAATCCTTTATTCTGAAAGGATCCCGAGAAAGATAATAAAGTCCATTTGAGAAAATTAAAGATATGTTCTGTTACCTGGTGGGGGAGGAGCAGACATGGGGGTGGGGGCGGGGGCGGTGGCTGTGGCATGGAAAAAACAATCAAGATATCAATAATTAATCTTTTAATCAAAATTATGAAGAATTCTAGCATATCGTACAAGTAAAAACCAATTGATGAAAAGGGCATTTTTTTTCCTGCCAATAGACGTGATGGGGCATACCGTTGCAGGCGCTGAGATTAGTAGTGACCCCGCATTCACGAGCGATCCTGAAAGCTTCGGTGACAGTGATGTTCAAAGAAGCAAGCAAATTAGGGTCGCTATAGATGTTGCAAAGGCAGGGAAGATCATTAGCCACAGCTTCTCTGAGAGGTTTACAGCAGTCGTCTTGAGGTTGGGCCGTGGCGTTGATAAGGTAAGGATAACAAGGCAGCAGTTTCTGCGCACAAGTTGCTTGCGCATCCGTAACGGTTGCCATCGTGCCCAAAATCACAAGAACCGCCATGATCAACAACTTAGCCATGGCGTTTAGGAATTTCAGTTCGAGTCTGTATATCTTGCCCTGGCTGCTATGTTTTTTGCTTAAATAATGACTTCTTTGGAATTGGAGGGTAAGAGTAAGTCCAGTCTTTGGTCTGGAAAGTGACGGGAGCATATAGTTAATCAGAGATGTGTTCTCATTGGCGTTGACGTGGCGTTGAGCCGTTGATGCTGCGCTGAAAACGGATTTGAACAAGGGTGTGGTCGTATTCTTAGGGGATATCATTTTGTTTTCCAATTCTTTGCGGATAGTCAATTAATCATGTCATTTTTTACCTATATTCTACCCATATTCAATAAAACATTCGAATTTTTATTTGAATGGATATAGTAATAATATAATATTGAGAAAATAAAAATAAACAAAATTTTAAATTTTTATCAAATACAATAATTATGGCAAATAATATAGCACACATTTCATATCCATATTTTATAGATTTATTTGTATGTATTTAATAAATAAAGTTTTTATTAAATAATATAAATTATTATTTAGATTAATTAAAATAAATATTTTTAAATTTTAAAATATATATTTATATATATTTATAAAAATATATAAATATACAAAATTTTAATAAAAAAGTTAAAAAAATAAATTATGGTTTTTATTTTTTAAAAACTATAAGTATGCAAATTATTTATATTCATTAAATATCCACAAAAATAAAAATAAAATTAAAATATTGTGAGATATAAATATGATGATAAATATAATATAAAAATTCAAAAATAAAAATAAAAGTGCTCTACCCATTAATTTCATATAGTATCCGTTTACATTCCTATACTCAATTTGCAAAGAAAAGTATGGTCTTCGTACCTACATTACTATTAATTAGATTATAGTGGTTGGTGATTACCTACCACTTTTCCTGCCATAGAAAGACATCCTTTTATTACTAATAATTAGTATTGACAATGGGTCGGGTCGATACGAGTTTTTGCTCATTTTGAATTCGATCTAATTTTATAAACATAAATTTGTACTCGTATTTGACTCGAAAATTTTTTTATTTTTTATACTCAAATCCGACATTATATAAATCGTATCCGATTCGACTCGACCCGAAATTAATAAAATATTATTTTTTAAAATATAAAATATTATTTTTTAAATATAAATATATAATTAAAAAATAATTAAAAATAATTTTTTATATAATATCAGGTCAGGAGGCAAACCCGACCCGACCTCGATTTTCTCTTAATAATATTCGACCCGACCCAACTCGACTCAAAACCCGATTTTGAAAAAAAAAATTGACCCTATAGGATCGAATTGGGTCAAAATCCACCGATTTCGAGTTTAGCTGGCAACTCTACTAATAATTCAAGGTTGAAAACAATAATCGACAAGTCAATATCAATTACAAATTGAGATCATATTATTTATAATTATAGTATTACAATTAATTAATTAAATTTTAAAATTATGTGAGATCGATTAAAAATTTATATAAGATTTATAATTATATTTAATGGATTTTTACATAATTTTTTATTATAATTGAAATTTTTTATAAATATAATAAAAAATTATAAATGAAATGTTTCCCCAACAAAATATGTGACATTTTAATTCTATATCAATATATTATAAAAATATACTTTGATATATAAGTAAATATTTAAATTTATATTTGTGATACTCTTTTTATAGGATATAATCATGAGACATTCAAGTCGAAGCAAATAATATCACATAAGTTGAGTTCAAATTTTTATAAATGATATCAAAGCATTTATCAGTTGAAATATCCACAATGATATTAGCGCACTTACTAATTGAATGAAAGTTAAATGCTATATTATGAGAGCCACATTTAAATTTTTAGTATGAACTAAGTGTTATACAGTAAGAGTCACTTTTAGAATATCAACATTTAGTGTGATTCTACTTCTATGTGTATTTTGTGTTGTCCTTAATGAAGACATTAAGTTTTAATTGAAAATTTTGTGATACTCTAATTTTAAATCAGGATGTTCTAAAAATTTGTTATAATACATAAGTAAAAACGTAAATTTATATTTGTAACGCATTTTTTTTAAGACAAAATTATAAAATATTCGAATCAAAATAAATAATATCTCATAAATTAAGTGATAATCTCCATAAAATATTGGCCAGATACATAAAAGGTTTTTTTAGCTTATTATTTAATTATTTAAATTAACTTTTTTTAGGCTTAATCTCTTCATAATTTAAGTATTATAAAACATCTATAAATGTGTAAAATTTACCAATTTTATGTTATTTTTTATTTAATCTATTATCAATAAATTTTTTAGATTTTATAAGCAAGATTTATAGAATAATACATAAAACTTTAAAGTATGTTTTAAAAAATTAAAAAATAAAATACATGTCAACCTTTTAATTTATTTGATAATTAAAAATATAATATATAAAGTGAAATTAAAAACTTACATCGATAATGTTTCAAATATTAACTCTTTAAGGTAGTGTTTAGTATAGGGTAATCACTCAAAAACTATAGTGATCTACATATGATGACTAGATTGTTATGTTGGATAAGCACTTGGTAGTCTTACGTAACAATAATTTTATATTATCGAAAGTAATTAGATTATTATTTTGAAAAGTTATCTAATTCTCATCTAGAAATATAAAAAAATTTATTACCGAGGTAACATAATATGTAAATTTAATAATAATTAATATTACTCATTTAATATATAAATTAAAAATTTATTTATTGTCAAATTGTAATTATTTTATATTATTTATTTAATATGTGAATTAAATTTTTTTTTTAATTGTGAAATTTTGTACTTTCAAATTAATATTCGTAACAAGTTTAAAAATAATTTGTATAATTTTTAACTTTTTATTGTTTTATATATAATATAATCTTTTTTATTATGGTTTTAATATATAATTTTTATTTTCTAATTCAAATTTTTTTACATAATTTATATTATAAAAATTAGTTTATCTAACAAATAAATATATTTATTAATTGAATAATTTAATTATATTTTATTATAACATAAACAAAATTTATTATCTTTTACAAATTATTATTATCAATATTAAAATCGTTAATTTATATAACTGTTGTAATATATATGATTATTTTGATATTTTTAAACAAAATAATATTTACTTATTAATAATACCAAATATATTAATATTTATTTTTTATGAATTAATTATTATTAATTAAATAAAATAATTTTAAATTATGAATGATACGATTACCTTAATAATAAAATTAATTCGATAATCATATTAATACGATAATTTTAAAAATGATACTGCTTAAAGTGAGTTTTGAGGATATCATTAATATGACCAACACTTCTTGATAGAAAATTTTCAAAAAAGAATAGAATCGTGCGAATTAGTGAAAACGTGTGGAGCTTTTAGAACTTCGGACAGGCTGGGAGGAGTCCCCCGGGGAATCCTGCCCCACCATCCTCGTTATATGCGGATATATAATTTCTGCCATACGTGGCATCTTAACGCCCGTTGTTTTCCAGCCTTACATTTGCAAATTGAAACATTACACTTATACCACCAAATCACTTACAATTTTACACAATTGCCATCTATTATTATTTGATGAATAAGAATTTTTATTTATTTGTCAAGAAAATTTTGAAAGCATATTATTTACAAGTAGTTGATCGCAATTTAAATTGAATAGAGTTTATAAATAATTTATATAAAGTTCTTATAAATGACATACTTTTATATAATTTTTATTATAATTAAATAATTAAAAAATTATGAATGAAATCATCTTACAATATTGACATTTTTTAAATTCAAGTTGGCCAACACATTTGAATTGAGCTTATAAATTGGAAATCATAATAATGAGCTAAAAGTCTATAACATCAATATTTTGCTTGGAATTTTTTTTTTTTAAATTTAAAAAGTTAAAAATTTGAATCTAACCTTTTCTTTTAACACTAAAATATGTGCATTTATAATTATATAAAATAATCAAATACTCAAATGCTCAAATTTGTCTTTTGTTATAATGGTTGAACTTGATCTTAATTGCAATTTATGGCACTTTTTGTGGAATGGTGTGTATGATTGGAAATAATAAAATAAAAAAAATCCTAAACACTCTTAAAGATTGAAAAAAAATTAAGGAAAATTTGTCTTAAATACTATTTCGTCTATAAAATAAATAAATTTGTAGATAATTTTTTTAATATATTCTAAGTAAATGATTTTAAAAAAATCATAAATGCGCTTATGATTATAAGCCTTTTCTCCTTCAAATTTTAGCTATCACCCAAGCTATTAATAACAAGACTATTACATCTCCCTACAAGTATTATCAATGGGGAAAAATGCATATAAATATGAGATTGTGTTTTCAATCCATGATAATTGCATATGAATATAAATCTTCATGAAATTATGTGAATTTTATTTGTTCTTTATTTTCTTTTTACAAAGCAAATTTCACAAATAAATATATTCTCAAACTTGATTTACTTGAATGAATGAAATTTTACTAAGATTCATATATTAAAAATGGAAATCTAAATCCTTAACAAAAAATATAATTAATGAGCTGCTTTATGACAATGAATTCTTAAATCAATATGATTAATGAATTTTTCAGGAGTGTTAAATGATTTTTTAAATAATTTTACTTATCTATTATAATAATATTTTGAATAAAATAAATTTTCAATTTAATTACTCTATGTAATATTTAAAAAAATGCAAATAAATCTAAAATTTAAATCTTCCATCTCTATTTTTAAACCACTTTTTTAATAAAAAAAATAATAAATAAAGAAAAAGGTAGGGTTATTTTGGTTATTATAATCATACTTGATGCAACATATGAAATATGAATTTTCTCAAATTTTTTGTTCATTTTTTTTTTGTTAATAACAGATTGATATTTAGTCTTGATAAAAAAAATGAATAAAATTTTCTTTTCCATTTTCATATGTAATTACATATATATTTATGGTTCATCGTAATAAATATTCAAAAAATAAAATGTTTGATATGAAAATAAATAAGATATATATAACAACAAAATTAATAAATATATTTATTCATTTTTTATTTAAAAATATATATTTATAAAAAAATTATATAAATATACAAAATATAACTAAAATATTTTTAAAATAAATTTTTATTTTTTAAAAAATTATAGGTATAAAAATTATTTATATCCATTACCGTTAGGATAAAAATATATTTATAATATTTATAACATATGAATATAAAAATAAATATAATATAAAAATTCTAGAATGAAAATAAAAATGCTC